AACCCAAAGCAACCAGCACAACAAGGTTCACAGCGACAGTGTCTCAGTGGCACAGGGAACAGACTGACTGACAGTGAGTTACACCAGCTCGTGGAGGCATTAAAATTCAGTTTCCACGTTGCACTGAAGCCCAGAGGCAAACTCACACATAGGTGTTGTCACTGGAAGTGTCTGGAGAGACCTTATGGCCTGAGGCATGTTGATGTTGCCATGAGTTTTACTGGCATTTTTTAGAAAAAGTTTCCACAGCATTATGAGTAAACGTTACACTCAATTTGTACATGTAATCCTGCATAAAGGCAGAAATTAATGTGGAGACAGGAAATGGGGCCACATGTGTTTTAAAGCCGGCAAAGTCCAACTCCATCCACTAAACAGTCCACACACCTGCAAGAACCCAAAATAAGAAACGTATTTCCATGATTTTACATCTGGGTATTAGAGAGACAGAGTCGGTGCAGGGAAAAGGCGGAACATACATCTTTATCTGCGTCCACTTACAAAAGGTTATCTTTCATATTGCTCAAATGTTACCTGATAAATGTCCCGGTAACTCTCAATATTTCCACTGCGGGGGGCACATTTGTCATCGTTGAGATGGCGGGCAAAGTGGGGCACAGATGGGAACTCCTCCCTCACACTGGCGTTGACGTATGAGCTGCAGGTCGGAGCAGACGAGCACATGTGATTAATAACCCGGTGTGTCTGGATGGTAACCAGAGAGAGGCCGAGCTCAGGAGAAGGGCTGCGACTTAATGAACTACAAACATATTTTGCACAAAAATAAAAATCTGTAATGGATGTTTCCCCAAACCTGAATCCGACTAATTCTGTGAACCGTCGTGGTAAATGAGTGAATTAAAGCTGCACCTCTGAAAGGTTAATGATGAGGTTTATGAGATGTGAAATAAACGCTGACTCACGTTCAGCCCTCAACTTGCAATTAAAGGACGCTCAGATAATTGTTTAATTACAGTGATTTCCCCCTCTTGAGGATGCCGAGGTCAAAAGCAGCTCATTAACCCGTCATTGTTGCATCTGCATATTAAAGCAACGTCAAATCAACGACATCATCGCCACATTAGAGGCCAGATGTGATCAAACAGTGTGATGCATGCAGGGGTGACGTATTCATCTGCACAGAACTCATGATTTGCAGAGGAGGAATATTCAGGACAATTAATATAAGTAATTAAATCGATTTTCCAACATATTTCTTAAAAATTAAGTCAGATATGAACATCTGAACAAACTGGGCTGATGCTTGTGCTTTATCAAGAATGTCCTGTGGTGTCATGGCTGCATTCGCACACTATATTTCAGGGTGGTAATATTCAGAGTTTTCTGAATGGGATCCAAAGTGCTGCAGCTCCATCACGAGTCTTGACACCTAGAAGTTAGTTTGGTTTTGCAGCCACAGATCCCTCAGATGAGAAGTAACTCAAACATGAATGCAATTTGGTCAAACTTGAAAAAAGGATTTTGATTCAGAGAAGCTGTAAAGTCTGATGCATAATGAGATAAATGTGCTGATGTGTGAAATCTGGAGAAATGTCTTTGTAATTTGAGCTAAAGTGGGTTTCCATAATCAAACTTGTTTTAAAAGCCCCTGAGCCCCACTACTTCAACTGAAATTCAAATTCCCCCAAAATGTCATTATAAATAATTC